GGCACCAGGTGGCAGGTGGACATGGACCCTACCCCCACCCCTGTTGCCTTGTAAACATTCCGAAGACTTCGTCACAGGTAGAGCTTTGAGGTTCCTTGGCCCCGGAAGCCTGACTCATTCTGAGAGTAGTTACAGAGCCAAACTGTGGCCATTTTTTCTTTCGTTTAGCCAAACATATCCTTGTCAGTAAGAGACCTTGGAAACTGAATAAAATGGCTTTAAGATGCCCGAGGAGTATGAACCGACGGTCCGGGGAAGGTATGTTCTGATTTTCTCCCTACAGAAATAACCTTGGTCAGAATACAAAATAATATATTCTCTCAGTCTGTAGTGGGTGAGCATCCTCGGTTGGCCCAGTGCTGTGCCAGGCCCCCAGGGAAGGAGGTGAGCCAGATGTCCTTTAAAGACCACAGGCCACTTAAGGAGCAGACTCAGGAGCAGATTATTACAGAACAGTGTGACAAGGACACACAGTAATGCCTGCCAGGGGGCACTGGTGTGAGCTGAATTGTGCTCCTGAAAAGATATTTTCATGGCCTGAACATAACCCAATACCTGTGAGTGTGACCTTATCTGGAAATGGGGTCTTTGCAGGTATAATTGAGGTAAGGTCACACTGGGTCAGGGTGGGGCTAGAAGTCAGTAGTGTCTTTATAAGGAGAGAGAGATTTGGAGGTGCAGATGGGGAACACGGCCGTGGGAAGGTGGATGCAGAGATCAGTGTGAGGCTGCCACAGGCCAGCAAACACATAATTGCCAGTGACCCTGGGAACTGGAAGGGGCAAGGAAGAATCTGCCCCCCAGAAGGAACGTGATCCTGCCGACACCTGAATTTCAACCTTCTGGCCTCCAGAACTGTGGGAGAGTGAATGTCTGTTGCTGTAAGGCTCTCAGGTGGTGGTCTGTCTCAGCAGCCCAGAGGACAGATGCAGGCACCCTGCCTGGGAAGCCAGCGGCACGGGAGGAGACTGGGGGGAAGTGGTTCTGGGAGAAGGTGGTCTGGGCCTGAGGTGAGGGAACTCTGGGAAGACTGATCCGTGATCAAAGCTACAGACACATTCAGGTCGGCTGCGTGTAGGAAGTAGAAATGGGCTTGTTTTAAAGTGTCCTAGCTTGGAACCCCTGCGCTCCCAGGAGCCCCTACCTGTGCACTCAGTTCTCTTTCCTGGGCCAGGGGGAGAAATGTGTCCCTCACATTAGAGTCTTTGAAGGAGCATGTGGCCCACAAGGTCACAAACTGGAGATGTCAAGGAAATTCGGCATGACCCTATCAGGCTGGTGGGCGAGATGTGCTTGTGGCCTTGCCAAGACCAGGCAGTGCAGGGAGGGAAAGTGATTCAAGGCAGCAGAGCCTAAGTCCCAGGATCAAACTGGCCTGGGCTTGAGGAGGACGTTGAGGTGAGGGGAGCGGGTACAGAGGGGGCGCCCCCCTTCCCAGTGAGGGGCACTGGCCCAGGTGATGACACAGGAGGAAGAGGCAGAGGCATGCAGGGGATTGAAAAAGCCACGTGAGCAGACTCAGAGGCAGCTGATGGTGCTCGCAGGGGCGACCCGCGCCCACCCCGACTAGAGCGCTCCATGTGGGTTAGGGAAGAGGGCACAGAGGGAGGACCCAGAAAAGGGATCAAGATGAGAACCCCCAAAAGAAAGTAAGACACGTCGGGAGGCAGGCAGTGAGAACAGAAGTCAAAGATGGAAGAATTCCCAGGGAAACCGGGGAACAAGAGCATCACATCTCACAGATGCGATTAATTGAATTCAATCTGAAAAGTGGTTCTCTTGGAGAAACATCTGTTTTAAAATATTAAAATGTGTTTTTTTAAAGGTGTGGTGAAAATTCAGAATAAACCTTGACTACTCTAAGGCATTTAAAAGTACGGGGAGTGGAGGTCTGAGCCTTCTCTGCCCCAGTGCAGTGACATAGAAACAAAAAGTCTAATCCAGAGACGGCTGGAGCCGAGTGTGTCCATGGCTGTTTCTCTGATGGAGTGACTCACTTGGTGACAGTGCTTGTTTTCTGCCTCTGTAGGGACAACTCCAGAAGTGCTGGTGACAGGTGGACCCATGTGGTGTCACCCACACCCGTGCTTCATTCAGGGTCCCACGTGTGAGGCTACTGCTGCTCTCTGCATATGCTGGGTCTTCCTGCTGTTCTGCTCTGCCTAAAACCATCTCTGCCTTCCCTTCTGACCTTGTCTTGGACTGTGCCTCTTCCCCCTCACATCCCTCATCTTGTCTAAATCCACCCCACCTCGACAGCCCATTCTGGGTGTCCCCTCTCTCTCCAAAACTTTTCCTAGTTCCCTGGCTTAGACGACTCTCAGTGTGGCTTGTCGAGGCAGGGACAGCAAATCTGTGACTTTCTCGTAGGGTTCTTGGGAGGAGAGAGCATCTCTTCTGCCCTTGTCCCTCAGCCCAGGGCCTCGCACACCCTGGGTGCCCCATCAGTTCCATCCATGCTGGCTCCCACTGCCAAAGCACACCCCTTCCTCCAGGGAGGAACCCTGATGTCAGCGAGGAGCCGACAGGAGCTGAGTGACTTGTCCAAAGCCACATGTGTACTCCCAGGGCCTGGGAGTCTGTGGTTTGATTGCCTGATTGCAGTGGCTTCCCGACCCACTGATGCATCGTGAAGGTGACCACCTGTGCCTCGGGGAGGGCTCCCTTCATCCTGCTTATGAACAATCAAAACTGGTGTCAATTATCAAGCCTACGTCCAGGTGATTTGCATAAGGGGCGGGGCCCTCACCTCCTCATTGGTGGGAGGTGTGTGCACAGTCAGTTGTACAGATGGAGAAACTCAACCCACCTGCCGCAGGTGAGCCTGAGGTTGAGCTGGATGCAGACCCAGCGCCGTCCCTCCCCAAAGCCTGTGTGTACTCCAAAGTCCTTAACCAGGAAAAATGCCACATGACCAGAGCCAGGTGGTTTCCATGGTCTTCAGCTTTGTTGTTAGTTGACCATGACCAGCTCCACAGGAATCCCTGAGGCCTTTCACGGCCTTTCATATTTATGTTTCACAAAAAGTAATCTATGCATAGCATCTTGGATGACTGTCTCTGTCACTCAGTAACAGTCATGCTTGCAGATACAGCCATGTTTCTGGATTAAAGCTGCTGGGGCTCATTGTCACCCAAGGATGAGATGAGACATAGGTAGGCTTTGGACAGGTCAGTGGTGGCCCTTAAACTTCCCTTGAGCCATGTCCTTTAAAAATGTGTGAAACTTAAAAATCCTATAGCATATAATTTTCCCCATAAAATGCTTTAAATTACAGTCATGTGTTGCTTAAGGATGTGGATAAGCTCTGAGAAATGTGTTATTACGTGATTTTGTTGTTGTGTAAACATCACAGAGTATATTTAAAGCCTACTACACATCTAGGCTCTATGGTAGAGTCTATTCCTCCTCTGCTGAATACCGTAGGCAGTTGTAACACAATCGTAACCATCTGTGAGTCTAAACACAGAAACAGAGCAGGTGCACCTGCATGGGTCTCTCACTGTGAATGGAGCTTGCCAGACTGGAAGTTTCTCTGGGAAAGTCAATGGGTGGGTGGTGAGTGAATGGGATTTCCTAGGACATTACTGTGCGTTATTGGAGACTTTATAAACACTGGACACTTAGGCTATTCTAAATTAATTAGAACAGTAAAGTGATAGCCATATCACTGGGCGATGAGAACGTTTCAGCTTCCTTATAATCTTACAGGAGCACTGTAATATACACAGTCCACATTAACCAAAGAATTATTAGATGACCACACATCTGACATTTGGGGATGATAGGCAGGGCACTTGCAGCTGAGGGGGCCATCCACTGTAGCCCTTTGAAAGCCACCTTCCCTAGAGTACCTCCACTGTGGTTCGCCTAGGCTGTGGACGCCAAGCCTCTGGCCTGGATTATACACTGATTTCCCTGCTCCCACTGTCTCCTGAGCTTCATTCACATTCCTGCATTAGCAACATGGCAATGGCCACTGGGGCAGACATTAGGGGTAGTGGGTGCTGAGACCTGCAGCTGATGGCTGTCTAAGGCCACCTAGGGCTCCAGGCAGACCACTCAGGCCTGCTGGCTTTGTCTAGGACAAAGTGCTTTTCACTCAGGACCACTCCTCCCTATAGCTCCTGAGGTATTCAGGAGAGGGGGTGGTGCTCTGTGGACATGCAGCAGAGGGTGGAGCCATACCTGGAGCCCCAGTGGTCTAGCTCTTTGGCCCACCGCTCTGTGCAGCTATCTTAGCCACCCTTGTGGAAGATGTGGGGGGAATGGTGGCTAAGATAGCTGCACATGTGTGGGATTTTACACAGAGAGGCTAACAAAATGATCACCGATTATCCTCAGATATTCTAAATCAGCATGAACATTAGTGTCTGAGCCCTCCATGGCCCCTCCAATAATGGCTGCATTAAGAGACTGAATGCAGTCTAACAAGGGTACAAGTGAACTTTTCTAGAACTAGAATATAAATGTTTTCACACAATGACTAAGCAAATGACATGAAATCTATGTTGACCAGCTTGATGAAAGTACTTCAAATTGTATATGAAAACACTACACTGTACCCCATGTTTGCATTAATGTATACAGCTACCATTTAATTAAAAAAATTAAATTAAATTAAAAAAAAAAGAGAGACTGAATGCAAGTTGGTCTTGTATTTCAGCCTTTCCTGACTTGGGTGGTATTGGGAAGTCTAGAGATGCAGTTCTGTCTTCTGCTGGGTGTCAACTCAGGACACTGGTGTATGTGACAGGGCTGAAATTGTGCAATTATTACCAAGTCTCAGGAAGATAATTCTATGCAAGAAGGAATCTTGGCGCCTAAAGAACTAATAATGAACTTGGAGTGGAGGGGGATGGAATACATGAAGGAAACGTTCTTAGACTATGCTTGATTCACTGTTGTCAAGTATTGTATGTGAGTAGGGGACCTCATATATTCCATTCTATCCTTTTACATTCTAAAATGTAACAATATTATTATTTCTTTTCGCCTAGGATTACGGGACAACCATTACGGTACAAGCAATCAAATTGCCTTTACAAATCTCCCGTCTGATGTTGCAGAGAAGAAATCTGACTTCACTGAGGTAACACACATTTCTAGCATCTAGGGTAGTCAGCAAAGTGCACCCAACTATAAAACGTAATTTCAGGCCTATTTGTGATGTGATTTCATTTTATTTTGTTTAGTCAAAAATTGAATTAATGCAGCAGAAAATCTAACCGCCAATGACTCAAACGTGTTATGTTAAAGTATGCACTATATATTTAATTATTCTTTTACAGTCTTCACCCACGATTTGTAAGTTTGAAGTATCCTAAGAAAATATGGTAATTGATTTCAATTTTAAACCAAAATTAATCTCCTGGAGAGAAAGAAAGAGAGAGAATGAAAGTAAATAGCATTTTGAAAATGGCGAAGAGGGAATTTGGGACCTAACGAGCTAGCTGTTACACCTGCAAAAAGTGCCAGTGGTCTGACACAGGAACAGAAGCAGAGTTTCAGATTCTAGGGCAGAACTCCACACATGGAGGTCCATAATGTCAACTTTTCACATCCCAGGCTCTCTCCAGTTGACTCCATCATGCCTTCCTAATCCCTTGGGAGGTAGGACTGTCTCATTCCTATTTTGAAGATGAGAAAATGGAAGCTTAAGTAGGTAACTTGCCCCAAATCTCACAGCTTGTATTAGCTGTGCCCTTGGGGCTTCTGTTCTTAACTTGCTCTGAAGGACCGTGGTGGGGGAAGGCTCATCCAGTTAACAGAACTTACAACACAGCCTTCTTCACTTTCTAAAGTTGTCCAAGGTCTTACAGTTGACAAGGCATCTGCAGTCTGTTACAGGTGCTCATTCTGCCACCAACTTTTGTAACTCTGAGAGAGACTACAATGAAAAGAATCTCTCAGATGAGACAGCAAAGATAGCTTTTAATTTTTTTTAACTCAAAATGCTTGTCTTAGATACTACATTGATTTAGGTTTGCATTTAACAAAGATCAACACTTTCCTCAAAGACCTCAGGCCCCAAATCCCACAAGATGGAGAAAGGATGCTATTTTGGGTCCTGAGATTTAGTCATCAATCTTTAAAGCCCTTTCTCCATGGCAGCACTGAGCTCACTGTCTCAAGGTGTAAAGATGCGTGGCTGTAATTAATTTGTTCCCCGGGAGCAGGAGCACAGCTCTGGTTTTTGAGAAGATGATCAGAAAATGAGTAGGAGGAGCTGTGGAACCTGGAGAGCCGTCCCTGGGAGGAGATGTGGCTTAAGAGGGGATGAGATTGAGCCGAGGGGGGGGGGGCTGTAGGGGTGATGCTGCTGAGGTCAACTGCCACTCTTTTTAAGAAAGATAGCAACAGGCAATCTTTCCTACCTGTTTTTTTATGCTGAGCTGGCAAATGTCAGCATTTTCCTGTTGATGTCAAAATTAATCAGAGTTTGGTCACTGATGATGATCAGATCTTTGGGGCTATGTCACTGGATTCCAGTGACACAACCACACACACTCACACGTGGTCACTCTCTGTGCCTGAGTTAAATGGCTCCTGCAAATCAAACCTCCTAAACATGTGGTCTGGAATTATCTGGATCACGTAATTAGGTCAGTTGCATGACTTTCAAATTCCCCTCCTAACTTTGAGCTTTTAAAGCTTGTCCCCATACATGTGCTCTAAGGCGCTATAAGATGATTTAATACATCAGCCGATGCCCTGCCTTCTGACTGCCATAAATCTCTGCCTCCCCTTTGGGGTGTACATGAGATTGATCACTCTCCTTCCAAAATGCACTTAGCTGAAGGTCCCTCTTCTGCTAGATGATTAGTTAAAAGGTGTAAAATATGGAAGAATTCTTTTCTTAAAAAAATAAGTTTAATTTCCTCATAATAAAAGTAATGGCAACCCCTTGTAAAAATGTGGGAAAATACAGACATATATAAAATAAGAAAATATTTGTAAGTACATTTTTCCTTATTTCTCCCATGCATTTTCAACATAAATGGTGATAGGTATCAACTCGTATTGTATTATATCGTATCCCCTCAGAAGCAATTTTCTGTGTTTGCAATTTTAGTGTTTAATTTCTGTGAAATATAAAATGTGGTTATGCATACCATGATTTACTTAGTCACGCCCCCCTTTATTTTTATTTATTTATTTTTTTGGAGACAGATTCTCACTCTTTTGCCCTAGGCTAGCGTGCCACGGTATCACAGCTCACAGCAACCTCAAACTCCAAGCTTCAAGCGATCCTCTGGCCTCCTGAGAGCTCAGACTACAGGCACCCGCCACAATGCCTGGCTAGTTTTTCTATTTTTAGTAGAGATAAGGTGTCACTCTTGCTCAGGCTGGTCACGAACTCCTGAGCTTATACAATCCACCCCTTCTCAGTCTCCCAGAGTGCTGGGATTATAGATGTGAGCTGCTGTACCTGGCCCACTCCCCCATGTACAAAACAGTGATCCATTTACAAAGCAGTGATTCTTAGTTGTTGCCAGGAGCTGGGTGGGGGGAGAAGAGAATGGGGAGTTATTATTTAATGGGTGTATAGAGTTTCAGTCTTATAAGACAAAAAGAATTCTATTAAGGGATGGTAGTGCTGACAGTTGTGTGACATCATAAATGTATTTAATACCACTGAATTGTACACTTAAAATGGCTAAGATGGCAACATTTCTGTTAAGTGTATTTTATTATGAGGAAAAACACTGGGGAAAGATGACTCTTCCCGGCTCTTCACTGCTGTATATCACACTGCTTGTAATCCTTTGCTCTTTAGTAACTGCACAGCAAGACAAAGTTTCCCTGTGTAGAGTGAGGAGAGCTCAGATTCTTTCATTTGTCTTTAAACTGTCTTTCCCCGTTGCTATGTGTATATCCTGAACACTCTTCCATGCAGAATAACATGCCACGAGGCTGACACATCACCCAGTGCCGGTGGTCTCAGATTGATGAAGCGGGGGAAGGCAGGTTTGCAGCGAATGTGGGGGTGGTGCAGAGTGTTCTGTGGGCAGAGGGACCCAAAGACTCCCTGAGCAGAGACGGCTGCAGGCTGCGTGGCGGCGGTGGGAGGAGGCAGGGTAGGGGCAGAGACTGGATCCCGGGCTTATTCTCTGCTGCAGGGATGGAGCAGTCCCCCTTGAGTGGCCAGGATCCGGCTTCTCTGGTCACCTGCTGCTTGTCTCTTATGAATGAAATTGTGTTTGTCTTAGTAATAGCTCTTAAGACAGAAATACAAAGTTAAAAACAATCAATAAAAAGCATCAACTATGAAGGCAGTTTCTAGCACTACACAATCAAGTTTTAAAATTTAAAAGAAGGAAATATCTTCAAAGTAGCATCTATGAGAAAGAAAATGTTAAGAAAAAAAAAGGAAGTGTGCAGCAGTGTGAAGTCTGGGAAACGGATGGCTTACGACCACAGCAAGGCACAGACCAACTATTCACTCACCCTCTCGCTGACTTGAACATCCTACTTGAAATTGGAGGTGATTTTCCTCTTCCTTTCGAAACAAATCTTGTGTCAGTTTTAGATGAAAGAAAGCTCTTTGCATAGCCGTGTTTAGTTAACTCAATATAAAAGGCAGATGGAGCATCACCCTGAAATGGCTTGATTTGGGAAGATATTTAATGTAAAAGATGTAATGACTTTCTAAAGAAAATTCGCACAGTTTAAACAGTAGTAGGCTGACTTAGGAACACTGAATAACCCTTCTTCTCTTCTCTTTCTTGATTTCCCAAACTCAGAAGAGGGACTGGCCCCAGAGTGACACGTTGTAGTCTGTTGAGGGGTGAATTTTGTCCCTCCCCACCCCATCTAAAAGAAAATAATTTACTCGTTGAAGCCCTAACCCTGCGACTCCCTCAGAATGCAACTGCATTTGGAGATTGGGTCTTACAGAGGTGATTAAAATTAAGTGACTGATAAGATTTTAAGAAGAAAAGATTAGGACCCAGGCCTGGGACAGAAGATGATGACAGCCAGGGGGAGAGGCCTTGGAAGAAACCGACCCTGCCAATCCCTTGATCTGAGGCTCATTTTCTAGGCCTGAGAAAATAAACATCTGTTATGCGAGCCTCCCACACGGTGCTGCTTCGCCACGGCAGCCCTAGCAAGCTAGCACAGAACTGGGAGAGGTTGAGTCTTACCTGAAATGATTTGGTGGGCCTCAAATCGTTAGGCAATAGGATCTGAAACGTAGAACTTCCATACAGGGGTATCACGTATATTGAAGACCAAAGAGCCTTCCGCTGTTTCCTTTTTCCTTTTAAATTTCTCTCAGGTTGTTGTTTGGGGCCTTTTTCTATGTGCTGGAAAAAACAGCCCCTGACACACATTAGGAGCTCAAATAAATGTCAGAGTAAATAAGCAAATGGTTTGACTGCAGCTGCATGTTCTGAGTATCAGGATTTGCACCTAAAAAATTATACTATTGGGCGGCACCTGTGGCTCAGTGAGTAGGGTGCTGGCCTCATATGCCGGAGGTGGTAGGTTCAAACCCAGCCCCAGTCAAAAACTGCAAAAAAAAAAAAAAAAAAAAAAAAGATCATACTATTAATAATTCTACATTCCATCAATAAAATTTGAGTGTATTAGATACATAATGTTATTTCTACTTATGCAACTCAGATAAACTCGAATGCACTCATTATAAAGTCCACGGCAATATGGTATAACATCAATATCAAGACCCTTCCTCCCCCTCTAGGTTTGATCCTATCAGTATCCACTGACTTCTATTGATTCTATCAGTATCCACTGACTTCTATTGATCCTATCAGTATCCACTGACTTCTATTGATCCTATCAGTATCCACTGACTTCTATTGATCCTATCAGT